TGGTTATCAAAACTTGCTCGAGTTGAAATTTTGCTTGAATAACTTTCTTGAGATATGATAGACATTTTTTCATATGACGAATCTGCATAGCTTGCTTGAGACATACTTTTTAGCATTGTATCATCATAATCATCATAATTGTCAGAATTATAATCATCTGAATTATTGCAACTATTACTATAGTCATTATTATAATTATTGTAACCATTGTAATTATTGTAACCATTGTAATTATTGTAATTATTATAATTATTATTATCATCATAATGATTATAGTCATTCTCTGGGTCAAAATTAAATCGATATAGTGAACCCTAATAAAATAATTATTATAATTATAAAATTATTTATATTAATATATATAAATAATAATTTCTATATTAATAAAATAAAATTATATTACCTGTTCTAAGTTTATACTAGAATCCGATACACACCATTTTTCTTTTGTTTTCCACAAATATCTTTGTAATTCATTATCAGATTCTAAATTTTCTTTGTCACTATCACTATCAATTATAATTACTTCAGCACTTTTAATTAACAAATTCTGATCTAAAAATAATATAAATAATAAATATTAATACATTAAATTTAATATAAATTAAAAATTATTTATTATTATTATATATTACCATTATTATAGTCCATATTATCAGTAAGATTAAATAAATTTGATTAATTATTTAAAAGCATATTATTGATTGAGGTTGATTGATTTAAAGATATATGATTAACCGAAGTCAAATTTGATTGATTATTTAAAATCAAAGTTGGTTGATTTAAAGATATACGATTAACTAAATTTAATTGAAGTGTATGATTAATCGAAGTTAATTGATTTTCTAAGGGAATATCATCTTTATGTATAATGTTTTGCTAATAAAGCATCGAAATCATTGGTAATTCAAATTGTGGATCTTGCCCAAACACAAGTTGATATGGTGTTGACTTTGTTGATTTACATTCTTGGCAATTCATTGCCCCTAAATTGGATAAAGTTTAATTACTTACCATTAAATAATACAATAAATTATACTTTAATTTTTTTATTTACTTACAAATAACAAATGGTAGCCCAACACTCCAATCTTTTTGGTTAGTCTCTTCTATCTATGCACCAAGCTTCGTCTGAAGAATATCATTATCTTTTTCAACGGAACCTTGACATTGGGGATACCTTGGATGTCCATGAATAAACTTAATAGTTGGTCAAAGTTTAATTGTTTCTTTTACTATTTCACCAACAAATTCGCCTCCATTATCTGAATGTAAGATTGCTGGTGGTCCATACATCAAACAAAATCGTAAAAGAAAACTTGCAGCTTCTTTTGCAGATCTTGTTCTAGTAGGTTCAGCAGCAAAAAATCGTGTAAAGTGGTCTCTAATATGGATAATATAATTAAATTCTCCATCTGGAGCTGCAGTCATACTTATCATATCCACCTTTAAAATATAAGTATTTGTAATTAACACTTTAAACAAATTAT